TTTGCGAATACGACTAAAAATACGAGGAAAAATGAGATCTGATTTTCTTCGACTAGATAACGCGGAATTCTCGAAAATTAAGGAAATTTCCGTCTGTTGGAATACAAATAGTAATGAATATTTTTGGTTTGCCTAATCGAAAAAATATCCAAAACGTGGTAGAAAATGATAAAAATACAAAAGTATTTGAACTTCCCAATTTCCCCTGGCTACTACCATCGTTGGATGGAAAGTGGAGGGGGTATAGAATTAAAAAAAATAAAGGAATAAGTTTCGTGCGCTTCGAGAAAGGTGGTGCGGCGGATTAAAGCTTTCATTTAGCTTATTATTTGTCAACAAATTAAACATTCCCATCCATAACTATCCAAACTGACACAGAGATGACTTCTTAACACTTAAATTTGATTTAAATGAAATGGCGTTGGTGTTGAAAACATAATAATAATAATAATATTAATAATAATAATAATAATAATAATAATGCAAAAGAAAAAAAAAGTTTGATGTAAAAAGCACTTTGAAATTACATCGCCAAACTTTCACACTTTATGTGATCTGTTGTCAATGCTTCAAAAGTACAAAAAGGAATTCATTATTTATTCAGTACCAAAGCCTCTTGCATTTTCGTTCAACAACCATAAAAAGTGTAAGCCTCTCATCATGTGATATAATCTCATACCGTCCTGAATTTACCACAAAACCTTTTTTAGCTTAGCAATTTCCACAATATTTTAAAGATCTCACTTACGTGCTAAATAAAACTGGCAGTTCTTCTCATCATTGGCAAAGAGGAGTCAGGTAAATTTTAATGATTTCAAGTACCGACTGAAAGGCAAGCTTTCCCAGGTACCAGTAATGCATATATTGATAATCATTAATAACTGAATTTCATATTAACTTATAAACCAGGCGTAGAAAGCAATGTATAGATAAAGAGCTATACTCAGTTTATTTATGTGATCAGTTGCACACTAGCCTATGGCTCCTATGACATTCTATTGGTACATATATATCACATAAATGTGCATGTACTTATACAAAGTTGTACCTGGACGCATACAAGAGCAATTATATTCACTAAGTGTAACCACCACACAATACATGTAGGATGCTCACTGGTGAGGAAATTTAAGGCACATAACAAAAGTGTGAATTAAATTTTCAGTGAAGTCATGCTCTTGTGCTAATTGTTGAAAAGGTTTGCAACACCCACCTTTCAGTGCAGGTGATGATGATGGTGTTCGTGTTGCTGGAAATGACATGGATCTTTCACTCAGTTGTGATGAATCACTCTCAAACTGATCTCTTCCCTGGCTGAGAGACTCCATTGGTTCAGCTTTCTCCTTCTTCTTTGTCGTCTTCTCCACACTTGGTGGTTCATAGCTGGTCTTATTGCCTGGTTTTGTTCTAACAAGCTCAAACAGACCATCTTCATCCATTTTTGATGTTCCACATTGCTTAGCCTAACAGATAAACACCAAAGTAAAAAAAAAATCAAAAAAAAAAACCACAACAACAAAGAAACCATAGGTTTCTTGTCAAGTAGTGTTTAGCTGCTTAAGGAAGCAAATATGACCTTACACCAATTTCAAAAAAGGACTCTCAACAAAGAAACATATGATGACCTCCACAGCAAGAAATATAAGTTTATGCTACTGGAAAAAAAAAACCTCTTTTATAAGCCAATATCAAAATGGAATTAATTTATTTCTACCCTCCAGCCGGTAAAATTTTCATTTCTAGTTAGTTTGCTAATGTGTTTATGTCCATGGTTTTTTCCCCCTCTTTTGAGCTGTGTATTACAATGTACCTTGGAAAGTTTGCTCTCTCCAGGATCCCATCCCACCACATCATAACTTGTTTTCTTGCTCACTGATTGGGTAACTTTTCCATCATATCTTTGAATCAAATCAGCTGCCTCCTCTCTCTCAATACTTTCCAAGATTCCCGTGATAATAAATGTCAGTCCATCCAAACAGTTTTCAGCTCCCTAAAAATTAAATTATCAAGTGCATGCATGATTTAAGATGTGCAGACAAATAATCAATTCTTCCCTTGAAGGCCTCTCAATACAGTCCAAACTGAAAAGTTCTAAATGGCAAAAAAGTTAAAGACTCAGTAGATAATTGTCTTGCACCTCTTAAAAATTTGAAAGGATGGAAAACAAACCATTAAGAGCTTTGAGAGATAATTGAATTACCAGAAGAAATTATCATGTAACTTCTTTCTAGAATATCCATACATTATCCAGCAAACAGGTACAGAGAACACTAAAACTTATCAGGTACATATATTGTTATGATGATCTAACAACAAATTCTTGTTATTAATTTACAGGAAAATGCATAGAGGGGAGAATTAATACTCAGATCTTGGACTTTGAAACCTACCTGAGGGATTTCCTTTGAACCAATTAAGTGCCCTTGGACCATCTCTTGCCATAAAACTACAGTAGCCAGACTTTTTCTTTTCCAATGAGGGTGGAATTTCAACCACATCCTCTGACTTTGACAGGAGTTGTCTTTGGTACTTCCTGAAAAGTCCCTAGATAAAATTTGAAGTGAACAAAAGTTACATGTATATCAAACATTCTAACAGCTGGGAGTTGTCCTGACAAGGCAAGAGTTGTCCAAATAGGAATGTTGATGGTGAAAGACACTGCTGCTTTGAAAAACAGAGACAAAGTGGCAGCATCTTCCTGAATTGTCAGAGTTAAAATCACCTAGAAAGTTACCTGAAAGTTTTGTCACTATTGTTACTGTTTTTAATATTAATTCTAGGTAAAGTAATGGTAGTATTTTGAGTAGTGT